CCAAAACTGACTATTCCCATCCCCACCCCATGCGTGATGACAAAACCAGGTCTTCAGTTTTCTTCTGAAGTCTAAAAGGGAGGAGGCCAACCTCACTTCTGGGGGAAGAGTGTTCCAAGGGGCAGGGGCTGCTGCAGAGAAGGCTCGCCTCCTGGACGCCCTCAGATGAAATTCTCTTGCAGATGGGGTCCGTAGCATGCCCTCTCTACGTGACCGGGTGGGACGGGTTGATGTAACGGGGATGAGATGGTCCTTCAGGTACCCTGGACCCATGCCATGTAGGGCTTTAAAGGTGATACCCAACACCTTGAATTGGACCCGTGGAGTCCTTGGGGTTAATGTGTGGTCCTTGGGGTTCTCTGAGCTTGGTTGTTTTCTTGCAGACATTTTGTTACCCAGCTAGGTAACATCTTTAGTGTAGGTGTATTTTGGGGTGAGATAAATATTCTGGATGATCCTAATGCCATCATCTCAAAATGATAAACTTATATACATACATACCCATCATGCTTTTCTCTTTCAGAGTAAGCCATGTTATACAGAGCACAGAAGTAAGAAATAGTAGGAGTAATTAAAAAGGTGAGATAAGAAGAAAAGGAAACACAGCTGAAACTAGTTTTACACCAACACTATGACTTTCTGAGGACAGAAAGGTAAATGGAACTAGTTTTAGCTATGTTTCCTTTTCTATCTCATGAAAATGAGCTTATTATTTCTTTTCTGCTGCTTACCCCAAAAGAGAATAGCATGATGGGTATGTATATATGATTCACGGCTCAAGAAGAAAAAGGGAAACTCTCTGTTGGATTTCCCTGGCCTTCTCATTCCCAGGCCTACTTATTCAAGGCAAGGAAGGCACTCTCAGAAACCACACAGCAAGACCTTGGTCCCCTCCGGCGTAAAGAGGGTTTCATCTACATGAAGCTGCTGAGTGAGGTCATTCACTGGCATGGAGTGCAGTATCATCAGTGTGCTGATGTTATCCAGTTATACATCTCTACCCCTCGCCAGACAGGTGATGCTGTTGCAGTGCTGGCCGAGCGCCTGGAGGCTGTAAGGGTCTGGAGGAGGAGAAACTGGCTTCAACTCAACTCTGGCAAGACGGAGTGACTCTGGGTTTTTGGCCCCCCAGGCCCGGGTGATATTTCATTTTCGACTCTGGATAGGGTGGCACTCTCCCGAACTGAGTTGGTGCACAATTTGGAGGTCCTTCTAGACTCATGGTTCCTGCCCAAGGAGATAGGGGGCAGCTGTGGCCAGGGGAGCATTTGCACAGATTCATCTTGTGTGCCAATTGAACCCTTACTGGGAGGTCTTGCTCATGGTCACTCATGCCCTGGTCACTTCCCATTTGGATTACAGCAATGTGCTCTGCATGGGGCTGCCCTTGAAGGCTCGTTATTACCTTTGAAGCCCTGTATGGCATGAGACCAGGTTATCTGTGGGACTACCTCTCCCTAAGGACATCTGCCCACCCTACCAGATCAGATGGGGTGGACATGCTTCTAGTCCCCTCCCTTAAATGTTGCCATCTTATGGGACCCAGGAAGTGTGCCTTTTCTGTGGCAGCCCCTGCCTATGGAACACCCTCCCCCCGGCAATTCAGCAGGCCCCCACCCTTTTAATCTTCCAAAAGCACTTAAACCTGGCTTTTCCCCCAAGCACTGGGATAGGGTGAGGTTGATAAGATGAACTTGTGGGCTGCATGTGAAAGTGTAGCTATTGTGCCAGGTTTTTTTGGTTTTCATATTTGTGTTTTTAATTTTTTTTTTTATTGTAAAATAGAAGTTGTTTTATTTTTTGGTTGTGAGTGGCCCAGAGTTTAGTACATGGTGGGAGGCTATATACATGTTTTAAATAAATAAATAAATAAATAAATACAAATAAAGAGTTGCTTAACTCTGGATTGGGAAGTACAGAAACCACTACAAATCTTGTAAATCCAGGGGATCGAGACTGTTCTGACTGTGTATCCTGGCCTCCTGCAAGGGCTCACAAAACTGTAGAGATTTAACCCCTGAAGGCAGAAATGCCTCATCCGCCTCAAGGACAGGAGGAGAGAGAGGCTAATCTGTGTTTTTTTCTCTCCAATGCAGGGAACAACCGGCTCCTCTAACAATTCCCTTGAAGGTGAGTGGAGACCAAGTGGAGGGAGG